CCTAGAATTGTCTTTGCATATTAATATGGTAATCAAAGATTGTCTTTGCATAATAATTTAATGATAAATAACGTACCTTCTCGTATCATCACGCTGCGTTTTCCTGCAATGCTGTGAAGAGGCATGTTCGCTTGGTGTCATTGCCCCCGACCAGGTGCTAACAAAATGGGGAAGAATGTTGTACCGGGAGTGTTTTAATATGCGTCACGTGATTAACAGTGACGTAATTGAGACTCGGAAGGACACTTTTATTTCAGCTACCAAACCATCAACACGTGTAATTACTACGACAGTACAACTCTACGTACTGTGTGGTTGATCAAAGGAGGTAAGTCAATAATTATTACATTAATTATATTTAAGTCAACAGTCGAGGCTGGTTAGTTTGTGTGACCAAGTGATAAAGTTACAAAATGATAGTCTTGCTTGGTCCAGTCGATTGTCACATGTTGCCTCATTTTCATGTGTCCGCCATTTTTGGAGCCACGGTGGCTGGGTGGTTAAGACGCTGTCTCGCTAGCCTGGAGGTCGGATGTTCGATCCCTGCATTGGCCGAGAAAGTTCATCTGGATTTTCCGACGTGGTTTCCCCTTGTCAGTGGTGCAGAACGGAGGGTCTGACAAGGACAGCTGTCTAGTCCTTCGGATGAGACGAATAACCGAGGTCCCGTGTATACATTGAAATACACGTAAAAGATCCCTTGGCAGTTTGAATTCGATGTAAGAGTAGGCGATAGTGCCGCTGCCCGGGCAAAATTTCCCTCATAGCACACTGTATGGCGTATTTCATATCCGCCATTTTATTATCAAACTTGTAGCAACAGTTTTTGAACGCCGAGTCAGAGGTGATTTAACAATGTTTAAAATACAGATGTGACGTCACCCTTTGATGTTGGCGTACCATTATTTCAAATAATCGTACGGGCAACTTGCCAATCGTACCTTGTCAAATATTAGACTCGAGTGACGTATTTCACTGTAAACGCACGTGCGGGGTGTCTGTATTTTGTATTGTTTAATGGTCGAGAGCGAGACATTAAGTAATATATTGTAACAACAAGAGGACCGTCAGGTCCGAGTGTTTTTACAATATATTACGCAATGTCTCAGCTCGAGACCATTAAACATCTTAAAATACAGACACTCCGCACGTGCGTTTACAGTGAAATACGTCACTCGAGTCTAATATTTGACAAGGTACGATTGGCAAGTTGCCCGTACGATTATTTGAAATAATGGTACGCCAACATCAAAGGGTGACGTCACATCTGTATTTTAAAAGATGTTTAATGGTCTCGAGCTGAGACATTGCGTAATATATTGTAAAAACACTCGGACCTGACGGTCCTCTTGTTGTTACAATATATTACTTAATGTCTCGCTCTCGACCATTAAACAATACTTAGTTTGTATGTTCTGTTCGCTTTTAATACTATTAACTAAGATCTGTACATGACGATTGATATTTGTAGCGCAAATACTTTAATATTAGGTCAATATATTGTCATTTATTGCAAGAAGCACTCGACAAATGTCCCGCGCTGTTTACGATCTTTGACCTATGTCAGATTTGTTGATCTTATGCAGAATTTGTAATAGTTTGTATGACAGTTGTTGTCTTCTACTGTCATACAAGATTCTAAATAGGGTGTTTATTGATAAGGATTAATTGTGATATTAGACGGTATTTTATTTATCCTGAAGTTGTATGTAAAGCCGTTATGAAAGCCATGCGTTTTGTGATTAAGGGGAGACAACATTTTATGACCACGGTTTCAACATTAGCCATGTGTTTGGAATTTGTAGTCTACAGGCTTAAATAGACAGCCCAGACAGGTTACACTTGTTGGGTGTAATTCTCTATATTTAATTGAATCCCTAAATAGTCAATTATTAATAATATAATGGTGTTAGGCCTTTTGACTTTATGAACATGTAAATTTCACAGGGTTTTCAAGTACTATACAGGGGCATGAGGCATCTGCTGCAATTAATGTTTGTCAACCCTCCTTCACATTGTTGGATTATGTAAATATTTGTTAACAAATTAAGGGCTTTGGGTGGTCGGGTGGTCTGACGCGTTAGCTTTGGATCGTAGGGTCAGTCAGTTACTCGGGTGGCATGTTTTGAATCCTGCACTTGTATGTGACAGGATTGGGGTCGTCTGCCTAGCCTTGTGGGTTTTATCAGGGCATTCCGATTCCTACAAATGTACCATTGTTAAGATCCTCTGTGCAGGTCAATTTGTGCGTGTCCTGGAATGGTCCAGATTATGTTGAGCGGTCGTTGGCCCCTTCTCTCTTATCAACTTGATGTAACAAATTCATTAACTTTGTCTTTATTGTACTTTCAGGGTTGTTACCACCAACCTTCTTTTTATCATGATTAATTTTGTGGAAATTAAAGCTTAGCATTGACAAGAACTACATGTTTATTGTTGATTCCCCTTGGCTACACTTACAGTGAATGTTATCGACAGAAATGTATTTACCTTTTAACAGGAAAAATTATCTTATTGCACTGATACAGGGAAATAATACAATTTGTGAATGTAAAACCCAATCAAATCGAAATTTTACCTTTGACCCAGGCTAAAAGAGGTATAGTATGTGCAAGAGAAGCCTGAAATCCAACACAAGATAAAATTCGACATTGACACGTTGCAGGAAAAAATGAAATGGGGTTTAACACTTGACGCGTTGCATATAAATACATGTTCATAGTTTAAATGATATTATTATCGATTGAAGGCGGATTCAAAGGACTCCTTGAACGATTGCGGGAGAGAGTCTCGTGTCTGAAACAGAGTTTGCTGAATCTTACATGTTTCATACCATACACACAAACAGTTTAAGTTTCAATAAATGGGAGCCGGATAAATACGTCTCAAATCTCAAACTTGCCCATCTCAAACCATCTGTCAATGTTCTTATTTATTCATAGAGCGCTTGTAAATCAAAGCACTGTATTAAAATCTTCCCCTGATATTGCTTTCCGCTTCGTGAAAAGGTTTATTCTCGGACACTGGGTCAGATGTCCACATTTGACTAAATTTTTCAGGATAATCAAGAAAAGGAAACAAACTCCCGGTTACGCATGGGCAATGGAACGTTTTTGCTATTTTTCTTAAAGTGTTGTGCCCCTTCCCGAAATAATACCTACAATTCATGCATTATTATAACAAACATGAATCGTGACGACGAATCGGGATTAATTAAAAAACATAGATATGATCCAGGAAGAGATGAATTATACAATAAAAAAAATAGGCGTGTCGGATGGTGAACAGTCAATGCAATTAGATTTTTTCTGAAATGGCAATATATATTAATTTCACGGCTGTCCACATCTATCTTAAAACTATTTAAAACTGATTGAAAAAAGTAGATTTTCCACATGATAGCAAATGGCCGAATGGTTAACGCGTTCTCGTTGGATCATAGGATCTGTCATTGAGTCAAGTGGTGTTTTTTTCGGATTCCCCGCTTGTACCTGAAAAGGAGTAGGGTCGCCTGTCCAACCTCGTGGGTTTTCTTCGGGTCCTCCGGTTTCCCCCAATGCTAAAAACCCCTACGCGCAAGCTAATTATCGAAATAAAATTGAACCATATGTTAGTCCGGAAATGACATCTCGAGTAGACTTTTTGTTTTAATTAAGGGAGCTAACTCTAGAGTTGGTATGGTGAAACGGTGAGTGCATTGCTAAGGCACGCATGGGAATTGTCCCTTTTAGTAAGAATAATCTTGATTTCTAATCGCATAGTTAGATTTTCTAAATCACGCATTTTATGATCATGACTTGTTCCGTACATAGGTCTACAGCTCTTTCAGTAGCCTAAATTGCATTGAACCCGGATTTTATATTGCAGGCGGAGGAGCTATCCTGAAATAGCACAATATATTGATCTACACTTAAATATTCATCGGAACAGGGTCCTTAGGTTTCTTTTTTTATTAATAGAATAAGCGTTATCTTCCATTCAACTACTTTTGTCGTCTTTCTTTTATTGTTGTTTATAACGTCCGCTTCCACCGAGGGTGATATCGCAGACAAGTTGACTTACGTTAGCTCACGCGCAGGGGGTCTTTCCTATGGGAGGAAACCGTGTTTACAATGTTTTAGAAGATGTTTATAGTAAAATAAAAACTCCATCGTAGGTTGACTGCTTAACAAATCACCGTACCCCCCCCCCCTTCGCAATTAAGGTCACGCTTGTTAAGACAGTTATAATAATATAAACAATATAAACAATAATGTGATTTTGCCCTCTAAAGCACACGTGTCTGCTTTAGGGTATGCGGAAAATGAAATTCCTTACTACCAGTCTGATTTTAACCTTTGTTCTTTTTGCAAGATATTTAACTTGGGTGTAGTAACAATTTTCTTCATTACATTGTGTTATTAGCAGTTATAACCTATGACTATTTCGGATTTCTATTGATGATAACTTGTCATCTTTGATCTCTGCAATTTATAAAATAAATTTAAATTTAAAAAAGCGAACACTGCATTTTGTTTACGCTATTACGAAAATATACTCAACATTACTCAACCCTAAAGATCACTTAGAAGGACGGGGTAACGTCATCAGCGGGGAACAAGTTTTAAACGCCTTCACTTTACATAGCCTATAAAAGGACATATATCATCGTAGCTGCCTGTTTAGGACGGTGAGCCCGACAAGGAACGACGTCTAGTCGCTCGAATAGGCCAGACAACAGTGAACATATTGACATTCATATAAACGAACCCTTGGCAGTAGGATGGCGTTTACGTAAAAGAACCCTTGATAGTAGGAATTCGAAAGAAGACTAGACGGTAACGACGCTTACTATTTTATTTCATTCCATTTCCGCTGCCTGTATGGATCTGTGACTGAAATATTCCAAGCGGCCACGATACCGTAGTTGAAATTAATCATTTAAACAAATATGTTAAAAAAAAATTATTTTTATAGGCAATATTTTCATTCCAACAAGACCCTCCAAAAAAAACAACAGCAATAAACAAACAGAACCAAATAGCCTTTAAAAATCGGTTTTCAGGCGTATTTTCGTTTCATCTTTTGTTCCGTAATTTGCAGACTGGCCAAGTTCTGCCTTCACATTGTTGGTTGATTTAAATCTTGCAGAAAAAACACAAACTGCCAAAATAACCAAACCACACAAAATTGTCAACACAACCCTGCAATAGACAAATGAAACATCAATTTAAAAACTTGCACTTATCTATTTTTATATGGATAGCATGTTAGCTTTTTACTAAGATGCCTTAGTCCTAATTCACATTTCTAAATTCTTTATTAGGGACTAGAACTAAATATCTAAATTTTTAACGCTAAATATCGTTAAAATAGTTAAAGAACATTTCGTGCTATAATAGTTCAAACATAGATAATAAAAAATGAATATATTGAAAATGCCATTCAAATTCTTTATTTTGCGTGAAGTAATATAAAGTGGTTCGATAAAGTGCGTACGTTTCAAGATCTATTAATACATCTATCTTTAGCTGCGTCGTTTTATCTAACATAAAGCCTTTCAAATAAATTGGGAGCAACTGTGGCTTACCGAGGAAGAAGCATCGGCCGAGAAATTTCATCGTGATTTTCCGTTGTGATTCCTTTTGTCAGTGGTGTAGGGCGGAGTGCCTGGCAAGTGCCAACGTATAGTCGTTCGGATGGGACGAAAATCGAGGTCCGTGTACACATTGGCGTGCATGTAAAAGAACCCCTGGCAGTTTGAATTAGCCTCTATTAGCCCAGTCGGATCAGAATCGTAGGACGTTAAACCGGATTTCATTTCATTTAATTTTCTAGCAGATTTTATAAATTATACTCACAAAATACAAAGCAATAAAATAACCTCGGCCTTTTGGCTGAAAATTACTGGTAAAGATGTTGGTGAGGGTGTTGAAGGTGGTCCAGCGCTTGTTCTAACTGGTGGTGGTGGTGGTGTCCAAAACGTCCTTGTTGCAGTACCCGGACTTGTAGGTGTCGGTGGTATAGCACAGGCATGTGTAGAATACAAATAAAAATACTGAAATGCAAATAAATGAAAGCCTTGGAATATGTAATACAACATAATACATGTTGAGCCTGGAATTCTTTTTTACCTCGGCTACTTTGATTTCATTCCTCCACAAAGATGGGTTGAATTTACTATATCACTACAGGCCAGTAGTGGTCGCTTAAGAAAGTCAAAATGGCGAATAATAACCCTGATGTGATATTTTCGAATTGATGCAACGAACTCGCATAATCTTATCAATCGCAACTTCGATTCTGGTTTTAAGAAGATTACGGACAGTTTTTGACAACAGCAGATTGTGTTCGATTTTCAAAGAGACTACTTCCAGGGACAAGGAGGACACGTCTAAAAGTTTCTCATAGTCCCAATGTCAGAAAGTAATACACTCACCCATGTAAATATTTTGTTAAAGTGAAGACTCATTACATGTATATTAAACGAAGGAACTACTTACGAACTCGTTTACAGGGTCTTCTTTGACAAATTGTAGTTCGCCTTCTTTCGTTGCATCACAGACAAGAACAACATAGGCGAACCTGTAAAATATAAAATCTCCCGTCGAAATCCGAGAAACGTTCCCCCGCCTTGACACACATTAATGTAAGGCTGGTGGTGGTCGGGATGTATGTGTGTGTGTGTGTGTGTGTGTGTGTGTGGGTGGGGGGGGGGGATTTGCAAAGTATTAAACTGTTCAATTTAACCCTTAAAGATAATGCAGAACTTTACATCAAAACATAGACAAAGAACGACAAAAGAACACCAAAACATGACATCGCTAAAACAAAAATTGCTGACGGTCTTTAGGAAACACGTCATTATTAGATATTAAACATAACTTGTGAATTACCAAACGACAAATGCATGCATGACTTGGGCTACAGACTTCCGTATATTGATTTAGTTTATTTAGTCTATTAACGAAATGTTAAAGACCAACAGAAGTAATTATACTCTGAAACTATAACCACAGCATTTCTGAATGCTCTTTGATATCGTTTCAGCGAATTCGAGGAGCCCTGTCGAACCATAATGTGTGAAAGAAGTTTCAAATTTTAAAACCAGTCTGCAAATGCAATTTATAATTTAAAAAAATAACATCTTATCGATGCCAGTGCCATGCTGAATATAAATAAAGCGTAGTGGGAACAGTTGGTGTTTGGTAAGCTTAAAGGACAATATCGGTGTCAGTCATTATAAAATATGTGATAGAGCTCGTTAAATACATCCCAAATATAATTTTAACACAGAGATCATTGCTACGGGAGATGTGTTACAAGCACGCGAAGAAACGGGAAGTGACGTCAAACATGACAAACACGAGTTGTCCTTCTACATAACTGACTGAAGTAACGGTCGATAACAGACAAACGCACTAATTTCATTTCACTGATAATTCATTTGAAGATGAAAAGTTGTTACATGAGACGATGAGAGGATATCTGACAATTCAATGACTGACACCAATATTGTCCTTTAAACAACGTATCAATTGTTACCTGACTGTTGATGGCCTGGAATACAAGATAAAAAACATATAAATCAAACAGTATAGGTAACATTAATAATGTCTCATTAGTAGCTTAATTTCTTCATACCAAACACAATTTCTCGAATCGCATTTTCATTTTTATCAACTAAGCCAAATTCAGGATATTTTGCCATGTGCCAGAAACAGGATACTGTCTATATCTGATTCAGCGGCCGTCTATAAATATTTCAAGTTGGTGTATTTTCAACATTAATGACCGTTAATATTTGATTTTATGTTCGATATAAGTGACGACTCCTACTGGCTTTAATTGTATACAATTTGGTTCGAATCTATTAGACTGATGTAACTAGAAAATCGATTGAGACAGCGGAGTCGAACACAATTTTCAATCTGTTTCACAGAGAATTACGAGTCTAGTAATATATCTCTGTCAAAGATGACTGCATTAACACGTGCCGTCACAGCACGCGGCGTCAATCATTGGCTGAATGGCGCGTGCATTGTTTACATAAGACGTTACTGCTTCGGAGAGAATGCTGCATTTTAGTCATTTTAATACCCATTTACACTAAATAGGAAATAATTTTTACCTACAAATACGTCAAATGCCTTTATTTATTTTTCCAATACTTAAAAAAAAATGTTTTAGAATTTAATTTGTCGCAGGAAAAAAGTTAATATTACTGGCTCATTAAGCCGCAACGATGTCATCCTTATCAGTGATTGTAGCCGCCTAGCAAATATTCACTGCGGATCAGTGTGCACAATTTTATGTAGTCAACCAAACAAAATGTACCGAACTTTAATTCACTCATTTCCTTAAAACCGATAGCCAATTTCCCGCTCTTAAAGCCGATCTTTCATTATGGAGGCCGTACCATTAGCAAAGTACCAATAGTTTTTTCAAATATTATGTTCCATTGAGAGCACGGAATCAACTAGTATGGCTAATATGTGATTCAGTGGTAGGGTGGCCCATGTACTCACAGAAATACAGTCCACCGCTGATAGTTCGAGACTACCACTGAAGCGTGCACATTCGCCGTGCCGAGACCAACTTTCTGACAATATGATACTATAAATAGCCATGGCACGTGCAATTCTCTACAAATCTATCAACTATTACAGCCGTAAAAAATTTATTGTTGACGATTTTGAATAGCAGTAAAATTAAGTTTCTTGGTTATTACAGCAGATTTAGAAATTACGTTCGTTTCATTTTTTAAATCGCTTTATCATTAACTGTACCGTTAAGAGCGGCATCATTTGGTTTAGTACAAATAATATCTCTGAAACACTCAGGTTAGGCAAGAACATGATACTAGCAGTAGTTTCATTTTACTTTTACAAGCTTCTTAAAACGATTGTTGAGCTACCTAACGTGCTTATTTCTAAATTCAATTTCTTGTTCTAGCTTTCTGTTATGTTTCGTAAAAAAAGTAGTCTTGATTATCCCGACCTGTCAATCAGACGTAGAATGGTCGATAGACTGGTTAAGCGAGACTAATTTCAAAACAAGGGCACGTAACCTATCTTTTACTCAAAAGTGTCTGAATGTTATGGACGACTCTTGGAACCAGTTTTCAGTCTATTATTTATACGTGATTAATGGCCATAGCTTATTAAGTACAACATGATCGTTTATTTAGTGACTATAATTGTGTGGAACTGATTTGAGGCTTGGCATATATATAAGTATTGTGGCGTAATTGTCGAGATATATGGAGATATTTATTTATGGTGGGTCACCCTACTGTCAGTGGTAATCTCATGAATACTCTTCCTCTCCAAACGAAGAACCGTTCGACTGAAGTTGAATTTTTGTCTGATTTGGCGTCTTTACCCCCCCCCCCCCATAATGCGTTTTTAACTTCAATGCTGCCGTTGATCCGTGAATTACCGAGTTTTGAATAATTCGCTAATTACATTTTAAAAGATAGCTGTAGTTTAATCCGATGGTACTCCAAAATAAATTATTATTTTGTTTAAGCGTTACTATTGTTTTCTCTACATGGATTACGTGGACTTTTCCCATTTTGCTTGCTTTGACGGCCAATTCTTTTTATGAATAATTGATTTACAACTGATATCATCCGACAGACTCATTTATTAATTTTTCGTCTTCATATAATGTAATGCCCATAGATGGAGTGAGTAGTTATCTATCTTTTGATTGCAAATATGTAATTCCCAACTCTGTGCTAGTTGCTACAAATCAATAGCGTCCCCAAATATCATAATTGAACATCGAAAGACAATAATCTGACTTCTGCTTCTGATTCTAATTGGTATCAATTGTTTTGGTCTGTGAACTTATTACAAGTGTGATGTCTACCTACATATGTCACTTTCCATTTCTCAAACAGTACCAAAAGCTCGGGATTTTCAGTCAACAATATCAACGGCATTGTCTCGTTGCTGCTTTATTTTTTAATAAAGCGATGGTGCAATGTTTCAGCAGTTGGGCATTTACAATACTTTTTTATAACAAAATATGCCCTCTTAAAACTTGTTTCTAATTAGCATATCTGCACATAAGAAAAGATCTGACTACTGCACTGAAAAAATACTTGTGTTGAAACAACACAAACTTGTGTTAATTTTAACTTACTGTGGCATATCTGTTATTGAAGAATATTGAAACATAACACCATACATAGAGCTTGCTATCGATCGTACAGTATCAGCATAACCAATTACATAGTATTGGTTAACATTTGTGTCTAGTTGGCATATCTAAACAAGAAAAACATGCAAAATCTAAATAAATGTGCTGTACAAAATGAGCTGTTTTCCTACATAGACAAGAAAGTATTGTATATAATTTGTGTTAATTTTACCCTACAGATTTGGCCGTGTTAAATTACATTGAGCTCACGTGTTATTTTGGTTAATGATGACGTAAATTCTGCATGATTAACTGTTCATTTGGACATGCGAGTAAGCACAGATCGGTCCGTTTACTTAAACTTTTAAAAGAAATCATAATCAGCAATAGCTTCAAGAAAGGCTGCATTCACGGATGTATCATTTTATATTTGCAAAGATATCATCCCATAATACAAATGAAAAAGCCAACAGTGAGGCTGATGTCCCCCGCCGAAATCCCAAAATAAATAGATGACACATATTAATTAATCGCACATTTATTTTTTTCAAAAGTATCGAGCAATCAAACTACACACAAAGTTTCATAAATCTCTATCAGATAGAATCACGATTATCTTGTCACAAAGCATCGACCAATGAAATTGATTAGCTATGCTTAGCTTTAGTTTGAAATGTTAATCATTGAAATCAGTCAAGACATTCACTTAATGAACATCTGCATCAGGTTTAAACATTCTACCTTAATTAATTGACCAATCAAATTGCTTATCGCTCCTTAATCCAGACAGAAAATGCTCATTATCGAATTTAGTCAAGGTATTGATGTAATGAAACTATACACCAAGTTTCATCACTCTCATTTCCTTATAACCAAAGTTATCGTGCCCCTAAAGCACCAACCAATCAGATTGCTTATCTCTGCCTACTGTAAGCAGAGAATGCTCATCTTCGAACTCCATCAAGGTATTGACCTAATAAACACCTACCCCAAGTTTGAACATTCTAGCTCAATTAGAAGGAGAGTTATTGTGTTCCAAAATCATTGCCAATCAAATTGCTTATCGCTCTGCTTACCCTGAGCAGAAAATGCTCATTATCGAATTTAGTCAAGGTATTGATGTAATGAAACTATACACCAAGTTTCATCACTTTCACTTAATTAGAACTAAAGTTATCGTGTCCCAAATCATCAACCAATCAAATTGCTTATCTCCGCTTACCCTAAGCGGAAAATGCTCATCTTCGAACTCCATCAAGGTATTGACCTAATAAACAACACCAAGTTTGATCATTCTAGCTCAATTAGAAAGAGAGTTATTGTTTCCAAAAAGTGTGACGGACAGACAGACAGACGGACGGAACGACGGACAGACGGACGAACCCATTTTAATAGTCCCCTGCTTTCTTCGAAAGACGGGGGACAAAAAGTAGAATTTA